TATATATATATATATATATATATATATATATATATGCACTTACACACATTCACACACACACACTTACGCATACACACACATATTGGAGACAACGCATGATGTTCTTTCGATTTCTTGAAGTTGATTGATGGGTTCATTTCTCGGCGGTGACTCACAATTGTCATTGCATTTCGAGAAATTCAGTGCTTTCTTTGGCTGCTCTCTTTGCACACCTGATAGTCGTAGTATTCTCTTGCCTTCTCGATGTTAACAGTTGTCGTATACCATTTCGAAAGGCACAAGGAAAGAAGTTAGCAGTTCATTTTTTGTGCTAATTCACCGTTATATTCTTTCGTGCTCTTCAATGAAGTTGGCAGTTTTGCAGTCAGAAAGTTTATCTTCTTGTTCGTTTACTTTTTCCTTAACTGTTAATAAACTGGACAGCTATAGCCTGGTAACAATGAGCATCGGCAGTTGACTTTTGTATTTGTGGTTTTTAGAATATGATGAGGCATCGTGTTATTTGATGAGAAGTTTGCCACGAGTGAAGAAGGATTACTGCGAAGAATCGGACTGGTATTTTGATTTTCTGGATGCCTGCCATCGAGACCCGCTAAATCACTCTCTGCCTTTGTTCGTTGATCCGGACTACAAGTTCATTTCAAGTACGTTGTTAATTAGCTTTTTTGTTATTTGTATGTGTGGTAGTAGTAAGGAAGCAGCAAGTATAAGCTATGCATTTGCCGATGGAAGTACTGGGCGTAATTGCTTCGCAGAACCCGAGTGCCTTTGTCCTGTTACTGGCTCGGCGTGGGACTTCACTGCGACACTCTGGTTGATAATGGCGATCTACAAGAGATTTTAGAGGATAACGTAGATTAGAACTGAAAAGCTGTGCTCCGCTGCCCGAGCATCCGTGCGTGTGTGTGCGTGCGTGCGTGCGTGTGTGCGTGTGTGTATGTGTGTGTGTGAGCGCGCGTGTGTGTGTGTGCGTGTGGATAAGATCGCCAAGATCGTCGGGTCTGGCAGTCTGGAACTTCACTATTACCAAGATGTTGGAGTTGAACCATGGGCAGTGCTAGGCTGCCCAACCCGGAGCAGCTACACTTTAGTGCTCGTTCTGCAGTTTGCATGCTGTACCTTTTCGAAGTGCATTCTAGTAGCAATTTTTATTTGAACCAGCTTACATCTAACGTGCACTAGTTGTCAGCAGAGCGAACGACGTTTCCTGCATCTAATTTTATTTTCCCCTTGCACGGTGCACTCAATGGACAGTAGTGCGCCTGGTTATCTGTATGTTCATAAGGAGATACTCCAAGCATCCTTCACTCTGTCGCTTGTTTCGCACAACCAGCGTGCTGAATACCTACCACAGTTTTGCTGGAAGACGATTGTTGCTTAAAAATGGTACCACTCGGACTGCTTTCGAATTTCTTCATCTTTCAAGAAAATTTTAAATTTCTTTTTTAAAATTCTGAAAAAGTGGATATTTTCAGAAGCGTATCGTGCTCGACAAAAATTAAAATCATCTAAAACCGAACCAACATCGAAAGCAGAAATACCCGGAATACCGACCACCATAGATGACTACGAGGAGGAAGATAAGCCAGAAAATCGTACGCAGGAACATTTTAAAACATTTCGAAGACATGCAATGCGTATGTTTTCCTGCTTTTTTTTTTGTCCCACTACATATTCTTCTATTTCAATGCCTGTTTTGGAATATTGTCCTCCCTTCAATAAATTTGGTACTCTATGATTTTCATAGTGCCGTAATGTGGTAACTGGCTCTGTAGAGCGGAAGCAATCCTAAATAAGCTATGAGAGCTCTAATTAATTCGATTGCGCGTCTCGTCGTTTTAAACTTTATTAGTTCGGAGCGGTGTCTGTTTGATCGAAATGTACTCTAAAAATCATGTAGTCGTGCACGAAATGAAAAACGCACGCTGTACGGTACGGCATAAGGAATTGCATCGAATCAAATAATTGGTCAGCGCACCGACTGCCGCTTTGAAGATGTTTTTTTTTTTGCACAATTCTCCACAATTTTTTGTCGCTAACAGCACTGGTTTTTCCTGCAGATGCTTCTAGCTAAAAGAAGCTTGGTTGTGCTTCTAGCATTATCCGTCGTGCTGAATGTTTTTTGATAGCATTCTCTCTGGCACAGACGCATACAAAGGCCTACCAGGAATCAAAGCTTTAGAAGCATAAACTGCTTTTCCATCCACAATAGCTACATAGACGGAAACAAAGGAGGAAAAACTGCTTTGAGTGTACTTGATGCAAGGAGACAGGCGCTGTAGTAGCAGCATAATGTACTGAATGTTAGAGCGATAGGAAGATGAGAAGTTTGATTCTCTCTCGCTCTTATCGGTACTTATTTTGCAAAAAAAGAAAATTCATTTCCTGTGTTCGTCGGCTTGACTAACAATAGTCATTGCATTACCGCAAAATAATTTAGATGAAACTGAACTGGAGAAACTGGTGGATGCTGAGCCAATCGAGTTGCGTCCCTATCAACAAGAATTGGTGGAATCGGCTTGTCGTGGCATTAATACAATCATCTGCGCTCCCACTGGTTCA